CTCTAATGACCAGAGGAATCATTGCACTTCAGAAGAAACTAAATGCACTTTATGAATTTGTAGCCATTTAAGGTGTAGTTGAAGTCACTCAACTTATAAGTTTATTTAAAATATCATTTATCATTTTCATCAAATTAGATTTACCTCCTCTAGAAGAATTTGAGTTCTTAACAGATAAATTGGCATCAGATGTTCAATATAAAACTCTTGCATGGCCAATGGGAAATAAGACCAACTAAAAGCAGGAAGAGTTTTATAGTTTGTTAATTAAATTAGTGAAACTAGACAGTTTCTTAACAAGTACTTTATAAAGTGGATACAGCCCGGCCCACATGGCTCAGTGGTTGAGCATCAGCCTATGAATCAGAAGGGCACAGTTCGATTCCTGGTCAGGACATATGTCTGGGTTGCAGGCTCGATTCCCCAATGTGGGGTGTGCAGGAGGCAGCGATCAGTGATTCTCTCTCATCATTGATGCTTCTATCTCTCTCTACCTCTCCCTTCCTCTCTGAAATCAATAAAAACATATTTTAAAAAATAAAGTAGATTCAAATTTTTATATGTAACATACACAAGTACATAAAAATTTGTTATAAATAAGGTGTGAGGGAAGGCCTGAGGGAAAGTGGAGGGGTTGTCATTGGTGTCTGCCATGTATTCATAACTTTATTAGTATCTGCTTTTTAAATTCCCAATACATACTCATCACCTATAATAAGAGATATTTTGCTCAAAGCTCAGAGAAGAGTATTTGATATGGACTCACCTGAATTAATGCATGATTATCTCTAGAAAACACTGAATCACCTGACAGCAAAAGAGGCTCGCTTTTCCCACAGCTCTCCTGGCTGATGAGTGTGTCCGCATAGTTGGGTTGGGGGAAGATCAGGTGACTCTTCCCTGAGTCAGCAGTGAGGCAGACCTCATGGGAATAGGTCTGCAGGAAAGCCTGCACCCCATCCACACCCACAAAGTGGGAAGCGGGCACGCCTGCAAACCCGCTTCCCGGAGCCTGGAGCAGGCGCGATTTGTGCCAGCGCCTCAATCTGAGTGCCAGCAGCATGATGACAAAGGCAAGGAAGACACAAGAGACTGCGGCCACTGCCACTACCAGGTAGAGTGTAAGGCCAGAGTCCTCGGGGTTGGCGGGAGACTCAAGGCTACTTAGGTCTGCCAAGACATCTGGGATGCTGTCAGCCACGGCCACAGTAAGTGTGACAGTGGCAGAGAGAGGGGGCTGGCCGTGGTCCTGAACAGCCACCACCAGGCTCTGCTTGAGCGCATCTCTGTCCAGCAGGGCCCGCGCAGTGCGCACCTCTCCCGTGTGCAGCCCCACCACGAAGAGCCCTGGCTCGCTGGCCTTGAGCAGGCGGTAGGACAGCCAGGCGTTCTGGCCAGAGTCTCGGTCCACTGCCACCACCTTGGTCACCAGATAGCCGGGCTCTGCGGAGCGGGGTGCCAGCTCCACGCCGGTAGAACCATCAGTGGGCAGGGCAGGGTATAGGATTTCTGGCGTGTTGTCGTTCTGGTCCAGCACAAACAGGCTCAGGGACACGTTGCTGCTGAATGGAGGGTCCCCACTGTCCTGTGCCATCACTTGTAGCTGCAGGTCTCGGAACTGCTCATAGTCGAAGGAGCACAGCGCATACAGGACTCCAGTGTCCGAGTTAATGGAGATGTAGGAGGACAGGGGAGCTCCCTGGACAGTGTCTTCTAGCAGAGAGTACGTGACCTGGGCGTTCTCTCCATAGTCGGGGTCGTGGGCGGTCACGGAGACTATAGAGGCGCCTCTGGGGTTGTTCTCTGCGATGTAGGCGGTGTAGAAGGCATGAGAGAAGGCGGGTGGGTTGTCGTTGGTGTCTGCGACGTTCAGTAAGATGTGAGTTTTCGTGGACAGGGGTGGACGCCCTCTGTCGGTGGCCGTCACCGTGATATTGTAGCTAGGGACCAGTTCTCGGTCTAGGGGTGTGTCTGTCACTAAGCTATAGTAAGTTCCATAAGACTTTTCCAATTTAAAGGGCAGATTCTCTTGGATAAAACATACCACTTGTCCATTTTCCCCGGAGTCTTGATCATTTACATTTAAAAGGGCGACCAGTGTCCCTTTCGGAGCGTTTTCCATAAGGGAGCTGGAGAGAGAGGTGACCAGTACTTCAGGGGCGTTGTCATTCACATCCAAGACTGTAATGAGGACCTTGGCGCCCGCAGAATATCCTGCGTTATCCGTTGCTTGCACTTCCATCTCATAGAATCCTGATTCCTCGTGGTCCAGCTCCCCTTTTGTTGAAATGGTCCCTAAATTACGATTCAGCTCGAAAAGTTGGGCCGCCTTGTGGTCCACATACCGGAAGGAATACATCACTTCCGCATTGGCCCCTTCGTCGGGGTCCGTGGCGTTCACCCGCAGCAGCGCGGTGCCCACAGCCGTGTCCTCGGGGACGCTCACGCGGTACTCGGGCTGCGCGAACGCGGGGGCGTTGTCGTTCGCGTCTAGGACCGTCACGCGGATGCGCGCGCTGCCAGTGCGCACCGGGTCGCCGCCGTCGGAGGCCGAGAGAACCAGGTGGTGAACCGCCTTTTCCTCGCGGTCCAGGGCGCGCTCCAGTACCAATTCTGGGTACTTGTTACCGTCCGCTCCGCTTTGAACCGCCAGGGAGAAGTGAGTATTGTTACTGAGCTCGTAGCTCTGGAGAGAGTTTTTGCCGATATCCGGGTCCCAAGCGTGGGGAAGGGGGAACCGCATCCCAGTGGCTGCGTGTTCACTCATTTTTATTTCTAAGTCACCTTCCCGGAAGGAGGGGGCATTGTCATTAATGTCCCTCACTTCTACCACCACCCCGTATATTTTCACTTTATCCTCCATCAAGATCTCCAGATTTAGCTGACACTTTACGGCCCCCATACAGAGCGCCTCCCGGTCTATTCTGCCCGCGGTGACCAAGCTGCCGCTTCGGGGATTCAGAGCGAAAAGTTGCGTCCTACCTCCGGAGACGATGCGGACTCCGCGCTCCTGCAGTTCCCGGGCCTCCAGCCCCAGATCCCTGGCGATGTTGCCCACCTTAGAGCCTGTTTCCAGCTCCTCGGGAACTGAATAGTGGATTTGGGTGCATCCAGGTTCCCACAGAATCCCCAAGAGAACTCCCAGCAGGACCAGCCCTCTGCAGTCCTGGTGCAGACGCGCTAGAATCATTGTCACTTTCCTGGAGAGTTATTTCCAGTTCTTCCCTTCACCACCGAGGTCGATGTCAGGATCGCGAGGTCCGTCCTTGGAATCCGTGGGCCGGGGGACCAGAGCCCCTCGGTTCAGTTTCCTCGCAGTCCAGGAGGAGATGGTTAGTTTCTGGCTGTGCTTTGTGCTTCAGGCGCGTGCACAGCGGCAGGAAGGATCGCTCTGCTTTTCTCTCCCTGATTGGTGAACAGCGGCGCTCAGAGTCCTAACCAATTACTACACAATCTTGAACTCCGAGAAAAGATTTTTGGTTTTTAGACCTCAAATAGCTCCACCTACTGTTCTTCAAATAGGGATGGAAGTGGAGCCGATTAAAACGACATTTTTTTGGTTTTGTTTTAATGGAAACTTCAGGAAGCTTCTTTTTTATTTCCCCCAAAAAATTTGACACAGGGCCACTGTCCTAAGATTATTTTCTGTAGCTGTAGGCATATTCTGATATTCCCATGAGCTTTTAAATGAACTTGAAATTTCTATACACAGTAATTCTATCCTTCATTGTAGTGCACCTGCGTTGACATCACCAATACCCCCCACAACATTCCTATTACCGGACATCTCCCTAGGACTTTTCCATGTTGAGAAATCGTATGATAGAATAATTTAAAATTCCTCACTCAGCTATAAGTTGGGGCAAAATTTTTCATAGATTCTTAAATTTGCCTAAATGAAAGAACTGCTTAAACAGGGTGTTGACATTTACATTTAAAAACCAATCTTTCATGATAATATGGAAACCTAAAAATAAGAAATGTGATTGTACACATTATGGAAATCACTGGAAGTTTATAGTAGACACATTACCATTTAACATTTTTAGAACAAAATTGAAGCATTCCAACTTGCATTTACTGGAAATAAGGGTAGTACTCTATAATCTACTAATACATTATATTTCAAAAGAATGTGCAGGAAAATTAGTAATCCAAAGAATAATATACACTTACCTTTTTCTGGGTAACAAACCTAATTCCAATTACTGATAATTATTAGCAATACATTTAGAAGCCCATTAAAATGTAAGAAAAATTCTCACTGTTGTGCTTTCATGAATGTAAATATTTATATTCCGAGGATAAGCACGTTTGGCAGGCCGACCATAAAATACTATTTTTTAAAATTGGGAAGACATATACAGGTGGATTTGAGGGGGAAAAGGGCATCAAATTGACCTACTCACTGGGATTCAAAGAATCTCTAGCAAAAGTACCTGAATATTATAAAAATCATTCCTATGTCCTCTTTTTAAAGCCTTTTCTCATGCATTCTCCTCTTTGTAGTTAATAAAGAAAATTAAAGCAAACCATTTGCGGATGAAAGGCATTCATTGAAACTCTTGTGAGTAGAAGCAACAGAGTTAGAGCTTAACTTATTATTCTCCTCAGTGACACTTACTATCGAGGATGCTTCATTAGAAAGATCTTGTGGCGGGACCATTTCTGGCGTCATAGAGAGAAAATTAAACATAGTTTTTTGAGAATCCGAGGCAACATGCATATTGTAGGAATAAGGCAAAGTTCCCTCGTTGTAGTTGGGAGAAATCCCCGGTCCAGTCTTAGTACAAAGACTATGCTGAAAGCAGCGCCAGGTAGCCAGGCTAGAGGAGCGTCGCAGGCGCACAGCAATGGCCAGAATCACCGCCAAGAGGAAGAGCACGGAGATCAAGGCCAAGGCCACCACCAGGTAAAATTGCAGCTCAGCCTGGGGGTCAGAAGGTGTGTGATGGTCATTGAGGTCTGGTAGTACCTCTTGAACACTATCCGCAAAGATCAGGTGAAGCGTGGCGGTGGCAGAGAGAGGTGGCTGTCCCCCATCGCGCACAGCGACCAGCAGCCGCTGGCGGGCCGAGTCCCTGTCGCCCAAAGCTCTCGCTGTACGCACCTCACCCGTGCGCAGCCCCAGGCTGAAGAGTCCGGGCTCGCTGGCCTGCAGCACGTGGTAGGACAGCCAGGCATTGTGTCCCGAGTCCGCGTCCACCGCCACCACCTTGGTGACCAGGTAGCCCGGCTGCGCGGCGCGCGGCACCGTGTCGAAGAGCGCAGAG